TGATTGCCGCTGTTATCACTCATTAGGTATGGGCAACAAATGCTGGCCTTACCAGCGACACTCACATCCTGTGAAAGAATAAAGAAAGAGTATAGGGATGTTTGAATCAAGCAGTCCTCAGTCATACTCCAGACATCCAACCTTGCTACAAATGTAAACCACCTTTAAGCCAGTGATTTAAGGCCTGATTTAGTTGACAGGTAGCTGAACAGAACACATTCTGATCTGGAAAATGTTTTCCTCTCCTCACAATACTCTAACTTCAGGCTGTTTTAATTTAAGATCACTGAAACTATGGCTAGAGTTTCTGCTCCAGTTGTAATGCATGATCTAGGAGCAAATTAACCCAGGTTTGCACTGGTTTTGTGAAGTGTTTCTTTCCTAAAGTTTCCACACAGTATTCAAAGACTGTGGAGAAAGGAGAATGTGTCGAAATAAGCCAGGAGGTTTTGTGTTGATATGTCGTTTCTGTGGATGTATACGATTAATGTAGTGTAATGCGGCTTCCAAGAAGTAGTTATCTGTCACATTGAAATTGGAATTTCCCACATGTTGAGAACTAGAGGATCATCAAATGATTGTAATAGAGAAGGAGGCCATTTGACCTGCCCTATCCGGATCTATACTCTATAAGAAAAATTTGGCTAGTCCCACTTCGCTACCTTTACCTGCATTTCTTTTTTCAGATTCTTATCCATTTCCTTTTGAAAGCTGCAATTAAATCAACTTCAACCATACTGTCAGGCAGTGCGTTCCAAATTCTAACAATGCTGTCTTCGTGTTGATATCTTTCCTAATATCGCCTGAGATTTTTTATCAATTACCCTAAATTGTTTCCTGTGGTTCTCAATGGGAACAAATTTACCCTAACTATTCTATCCAGACCTCTCATGGCTTTGAACACTTTTGTAAAATTTGCTATCAATCTTGCCTTCTCTCAGCAGAATAGCCTTGCTTTGCCAAACTAGCCATGTAACTGAAGTCTACACTGCCTGGAACTGTTCTTGTAAAACTTTTCTGTATCATCTCCAGTATCTCCATACCCCTTTTAAAGTCCACTTCCCAAAATGGAGACTTTTTAGCCGTTCATCATAATTGCCTGGCTTTTGTGCTTTTTGGTTTGTATTTTTGTGTAAGCTCGGGGAAAGGCAGACCTGTACACTTTTAAAGTGCCTTCTAAAATACACTTGGATCCATATATGAATTTGCCCAGGAACTTTTGTGTTTTCCCGCAGGGTTCCAGTTCATCATGCATTCTGCAATCTATTGTGAGTGTGTGGTGTGGTGGTGGGATTGGTTAAAGAAAGGACTGTCTTGGTTCTCCAACACAGCAGATCAGCTCCCAACTTCAGTTGAAGGCCCTCCAAACCTCGCCGCTCACCCACATGCTGCTTTAGATAGCCAGGCCACTTATATCGCCTCCATGTTTCAGTTGTATCATCTGTAGCCACGCACCCAGTATCCACTATGTACTGTCCTCAGGAATAAGAACATAAGAACCAGGAGCAGGAGTAGGCCTGTAGGGCCCGTCAAGCCTACTCCACCAATCAATAAGTTCATGGTTGATCTTTTCGTGGACTCAGCTCCACTTACCCAACCGCTCACCATAACCCTATTCTCTTTACTGTTCAAGAATCTATCTATCTTTGCCTTAAAAACATTCAATGACGTACCTTCAGCTGTTTTACTGGGCAGGGAATTCCACAGATTCACCACCGTTTGGGTGAAGAGGTTCATTCTCAACTCAGTCCTAAATCTGCTCCCCCTTATTTTGAGGCTATGCCCCCTAGTTCTAGTTTCTTCCGCCAGTGGAAACAACCTTCCTGCTTCTACCATATCTATTCCCTTAATAATTTTATATGTTTCCATAAGATTCCCCTCATTTTGAGGCTATGCCTCCTAGTTCTAATTTTACCTGCCAGTGGAAACAACCTCTCTGCTTCTATCTTATTTATTCCCTTCATAATATTATATCTTTCCATTCTAATGATATAGTCCCAGTCTACTCAATCTCATCACATTTGCTGTTTTCCAATCTGCCAGAACTGCCCCAGAGTCCAGCAAATTTTGGTAAATTACCATGAGCGCATTTGCTACTTTCCTTGCCATCTCTTTTTGTACCCTGGGATGCATTCCATCAGGGCCAGCAGACCTGTCTTCTTTTAGCCTCATTAGCTTGCCCAACACGACCCCTTTAGTGATAATGATCATTTCTAGGTCCTCACCTGCCATAGCTTCCTTGTCATCAATTATTGGCACGTTATTTGTGTCTTTCACTGTGAAGACTGACACAAAATACCTGTTCAATGCCCCAGCCATTTCTTTATTTCCCATTATTAAATCCCCCACACAATCATGCAATAGCAATTGGAATCATTTTAAAATTATGTTGGTGGAGGGGAATATGAACGCTCACTATTAAATAAAATGTTGAGTTGAAATACATTGTCATTGATACTAGAAGAAAACCTACTCTGAATCATTTTAAACACCTTTGTAGCAACAAACTACATCCAACTGCTATCTGATATCACAGCTGCTTAAAACTGTCAATCATTCTTAGGTTGGTGGACCATCTGTTGAGCTGAAGCCATGAACAGCTTTTCAAGCATTCACAATTATTTGAGCAGCATGGTAGCTCAGTGGTTAGCACTGCTGCCTCACAGTGCCAAGGACTCAGGTTCAATTCCACCCTTAGGCAACTGTGTGGAGATTGTACATTCTCCCTATGTCTGTGTGGGTTTCCTCCTACAGGCCAGGTGGATTGGCTGTGCTAAATTGTCCGGTGGGTCTGGGGAGGGTTGGTGTAGACTCAATGAGCTGAATGGCCTGCTTCCACACTGTAAGGCTACTATAGCAACATAACAAAAGCCTCCTAAGTATGTTATCTGAAATTGACAGAATAAGTGGTCATATTTCCATTTTAAAGCAAAATGCCTCATAATCAATGCTGTAGTTTTCTTTAACTTTCAAAAGCAGGTTTTATTTTAACAGTTTGTGAAACATGACAACAGAACACTTTTGTTTACATTTTTAAGCGCGATCACTCTTTTGACAGTTAGAAAAGTACTGAAATACATGCCAACAATTGCATAATGCCAATCAATTTAAGCATTAATGTACCTTTACAGGATATATGTGGCTTCTAAAATGCTGCAGCACCAAATAAAACTGGTTTCTAGAAGGAAATATAGTTTTCTGTGGTCCTCACGATGGAAACCTTGCATTTGTGTTTTACACACCAGGCCCCTACAAGAAGACCACAAGAGAAAGTCACAGAGTTAGATTCCAACCTCCATTTGGAGGGGGGGAATCCAGTCCTGTGCCTCATTCTGCTCTGGGTTCAACATTGGAGCCTTAACTGTTTACAGTCTATATCAGTGATTTAGATGAAGGAACAGGATGTATGGTTGCTGAATTTGCTGATGACACAAAGATAGGAAACAAAGTAAGTTGTGAAAACCTGAGGGTTTTGACTGGGAGAACAGAAAAACAATACATTATTTAAATAGCAAGGCTGTAGAACTCAGCAGAATCTGGGTGCCCTCGTACATGAACCACAAGAAGCTAGCATGCAAGTACAACAAGCGATTAGGAAGCAAATTGAATGTTGTCTTTTATAGCAACAGGAATGAAATATAAAAGTAAAGATATTTTGCTACACCTGTACAAGGCATTGGTGAAACCACATCTAAAGTACTGTGTGTACAGTTTTGATTTCATTATTTAAGGAACAATATAGTTTGCATTAGAAGCACATACAGAATAGCCCAGTGGAAACAGACAATAGACATATAGATCTCTTAATTACTGGGTGTAGATATTTCTAATCAACCTGTTTAAATACATTATGACACACCTCCAGAGTAGGTGGGACTTGAACCTAGGTCTCCTGACTCTGAGATAGGGACACTACCACTGCACCACAAGAACCCTTACACACTGACATGTGTACACTTGATTATAATGTTGTGCATGTGATGTTGAATTTGATGGACACACTTTACTGTGGAAACACAACAGGGGTTATTTTCCAGTATCATCAACAAATTGCAGATATGCATCTATCAGAGAGAGTTCTTTAAGGGTCCACAAAACAAATATTTGACTGAAGCAGATGTAATATGTCCAAACTAATAATTATATATGGAATACCCCTACCACTTAGACATACATGATCATGTCATATCTGCTTTACTCAAATATGCATAATACAACAGATTCAGTTTGTCCAGGTGCAAAGCTGCTTTCTGTTAATCTTGTACAACCAAATGTAAGGCAGAGTTCATCCAAACTTTTACACTATGCTAAATTCTGCTAATATTGAGTTAAAGAACTCTCACAGGTTGCAGCATTTTCTGAATGGAGAACAAGTGGAGGAAAAGTTGTTATTGAGAAAAACAAACCCTTTGAGGACTGTTAAATATATTGGATTTTTGTAAATAAAAGTAACAATTATTTGGATAAGAATGTGAGTAAAGACCTGATGCATGCTTTCACACTCTGTTAATTACTTTATAATGTTCAACAATACATTATCACCTTGTGTGAAATGCGATGGGCCCTATTTTCAATAGTTTGCATTTTAGTTTGCGCAATGGCTGCTTAGCTTGCAGAGATGTACTGCAGAACATTTGTGAAATTTTCCTTCTGAAAATTTTTGAGATGTTTTTAAAATTGCGCACTGTTGCATCTTGCTGAACCAAGTTTTATTCCAGTGCCACCTTTTGCACTATCATGTTTCAATTACATTATTGGAGAAAATCAAAAAAGACACTTTTTAATCTTGATGAACCAGGAAAATCCTGAAGGAAAATAAAAGGAAACAGAAGACAATGGCAGGCCCTGCAAAGATCACTAACATTTGGGAAGATGACCACCTCAGAATGCAAAGTTATTTCTTGTGCATTGTTGTTCCCCAAGACATCTACACATGCCTTGTCATTTGTGAAACACATTCACATTTTTTTTATTTTAATGTATGTTTCTTGTTTCTGCAGGGCTTACGGCAAGTTAAAACTGGGGTAAGTCATTTTCACGCAAACGTGACAATTTGTGGCAGTTTATGAGATTCGAATATCGCATCCTCAGTGCGATAATCCTACGGGAATTGCCTCCAAAAATTGCAGAAAACCTTTGCAGAAGTTTTTTTGTGCAACTGCAATGTGCTGTGTCCCAGACAAAAGGGAGAAAAAAGTAAAATCTTTGCAAGCGCAACTTGCCCAAAACAAACACTCTGCGAATGACATAAGCAGCAAAAGGTTTGAAAATAGGGCCCAATGTACACATTGTGAAAGCTGCAAGGCACAGCAAGTACTCAAAGGGTTAATGAGGGTTTATATTAGGTGAGGAGGACAGAAAATACTTTAAATAGAAAGTATTTTCCACTTCCCCACCGCAATGCATGCCACACAGAATGGGGCTTAAAATAAGCTTAATTAAAAACTAATAACTGGTTGTAAGTCTCTTCCATAGATTCTAGGAGATGGTTACTTACTTGACACAGATGTGAAATGAAAAGTGAAAGTGGGAGGTACTCAGGTTGTGTGAGATTGTCCCCTCCTTCATGTCTATATTTCACGTGCTTGTGTCAACTCACTGCCTCTGGGACAAACTAAATAACGTTACCATTTCTGATTATTTTTCTGCAGTAGTTTCAAATCTGTCTTTGTGCGTTACACACATATAAATGCATCCCTTTCCTTTTCCTCCACCACCATGGGCAGGTCTCTTTAAGAGAATTGTTGTCTACTCTCAGCCCTCTTTTTTTTCCTTTCTCTAGGTCATCGCCCACCATTTTCTGACTGAAAGGACGGGTCGGTAATCTGTTTCAGGCCTCGACCAAAGTCAGTGTTTGAGTTGGCTTCTAGGAAGTGCCTGAGAGCACCACAGACTTACTTAACCTCTGATTCTCCCTCTCTTCCTGCTGGGAAGTACCTTGTCTCTACTTATCATCTCAAGATACCCCAGCAGGTTAGCAGGCCTGAACCCATATTCTGAAACTCTGTAATGTGGCATATTGATACCTCAAAGCCACCAGGCCACCCCAAAGAATGCTATTATTTAGTCAGACTTTTTTTTCTTTTAAAATGCAAGTGTGAATTGGTATTAAAGCTTAATGTGGTGGAAGAATCTAAGTGTGTGATTGAAATCAAGCACAGAATGGCACAGACAATCCGGAAGTGAGCACCACTGCACTAGCTCACAATGATTATGAGGTGCACTGAAGGCTAAAGAAAGTACAGTTGAATTGTTGGTCATGAAATTCCAAATCATGTTGTGGTTGTTTGCAGAATTGCTTCTTGGAGTGTGCATACCAATACGATGATGACGGTTACCAGTCCTACTGTACCATCTGCTGTGGGGGCAGGGAGGTACTCATGTGCGGAAACAATAATTGTTGCAGGTACGATCAACTCTGATTTCTACAACTAGGAAATGGAAAAGAAGAAATGCAGAATGCACAATCCACTTGTTGAATATTTGTGACACAATGCACTTGTGATGAATGCACTTTCAAAGGTTGTGACAGACTAATTGAGAGCAAGTCATATCCTGCATGATCCAGGAGTTAGCCTATTTTGCAGTAAAATTGTACGTTAAATCTTGCATCTTTGCTTGATATGAGTGTGGATATGTCACTTATTGCCAGACTATTACAGGCTTAAATCACCACATTATTTACCTACATATAAATCATATGTGCAGATAAGTCAGAACGAGGTAATTTGAGACTTAGGGCAAATTTTATGCGTAAGCACTCAACTTAGGAAAAATTTTCTTTGAGTTACTATGTAAGAAAATGTATTGTGTAAATTAATCTCAAATACTGAAGTAGCCTATACTTTTGTAATATCATTTTAAACTTTAAGATTCTCCACTATGATTATGCTATGATTAATTTGAGTTTTCATTATGACATTGTCAGGTTGGACAATTTCAGTAAAACTACAGGCACAATCTGTAAATTGAAGTTAAGATTTTCAGTTCATTAATTGATAAAATTGCAGTATTTTTTGATGCATGATAAGGATATCAACTCTCAGGGTTAAAATAATATTCCAATAACAACTTGCTGTTCTGAGATCACGTTGGCAGTGCCTGGAGTCAGGGATTATCAGAGAGGAGATCAAGGAATGCTGAAGAGGGAAGGTAAATCTGTAACGTTTAGGGATGGGCTCAGAACTGGTTAAAGTCTAGATGTATTGTGTGTTATTGGGGTCAACAACAATATTTATCTAGCATCTTTAACATAAGTAACATTCCAAGACGCTTCACAGGAGCAAAGTATGACACTGAGCCGCACACAGAGATGTTAGGTCAGATGATTAAGAGCTTGGTCAAAGAGGAGTCTTAAGGGAGGAAAGGGCTGTAGGTAGAAAGCTGTAGGGATGGAGATCCAGAGCTTGGGACACAGGCAACTGAAGGCATGGACATTAATGTTGAATCAGTTTTATTTAGGAATGCAGCAGGGCTGAGAATTAGAGGAGCAAAATACCTTGGAGCATTGCGGAGTTAGAGGAGATTATAGATGGAGAGCCGCAGGCCAAGCGGAAATGGTCATTAAGGATGCAACAGGACCTAGCAAACTTGCATAGAAGGAGAACCCAAAAGAATATTATCTATTGCTCTCTTTGACACGTCCTATTTCCATCCTTAGATACATTTTGCCTCTCTACTATTTGTCCATTCTCAGCTTGTTCCCGCTTTGTTAGAGCTTTAAAAATTTCAGAGCATGTTTTATCCTACTTAGTGATTAAATGAGAAATTGCTTGATATACATTTCCAGGACATTTTGCATTTATGTGCAACATGGCTAGCAACCTCAGTTGCCACATCCCTCTCTACCGCCTCACCCATCACTTGTTTGATTCCTTTCTTAGCTATCCAATCATAGTGAATGGCTTCTATTTTTGACCCTGCGCCACCACCTTTGAAGTCCCAAGGATCCAGCTGTGCCTTCTACCTTTTCTTACATGTCTTTTTGGTTGGTGATGTTATCTGTAAAGTTTTTGATCTTTCATACACGTACCATTCAGACCACAGAAGTGCCAATCAATGACCATCTCCAACAAGAGAGAATCTAAGATCTTTCCTTGACATTTGATGGTGTTGCTGAATCCCCACTATCAACATCAAGGAGATTACCATTGATTAAAAACTGAATTGAACTAGCCATACAAATACTGTGTATACAAGAACAGATCAGAGTCTGGGAATTTTGTGTCAAATGACCTACCTCCAGACTGTCAAAGCCTATCCACCATCTACAAGACACAAGTCAGGAGAAGGGGAGAATATTTTGTACTTTCCTGGATTGATGCAGCTCCAACAGTGAAACCATCTGGGACAAAGCAACCTGTTTGATTGATAGCTCTTCTATCAACTTAAAACATTCACTCCTCCATCACAAGTATACATTGGCAACAGTGTGTCTCAACCGCAAGATGCACTGCAGTAATCACCAAGATTCCTCTGACATTACCTTTCATATCTAAAACCTCTAAAATTTAGAAGGACAAGTAGATGCATGAGGATACACCACTTGTAAATTCCCCTTCCAAGTAGCACATTGCCATTACTTGAAACTAGATCATTATTCCTTCACGATTATTGGTTCAAGATCTTGGAGCTCCCTTCATAACTGTATTGTGTGTATACCTGCAACTTGCCACCATCTTCTCAAAGGTAATTAGGGAAGGGTAACAAGTATTAGTCTTTCCAACAATGCTCATAGTGCAGGATCCAATAAGGTTCACGTTGCAGGAAAGAGTAAAAAATCTTATGCCACCCAGCCAGACCTTGCCATCATTTCTTTTGACCTTTGGCCAGATGGATGACAGTTGCCAAAGTGAGCTGACTGAGAGCAATGTCTTTGCTGATGGTATTAACTGTTTCCAGGGCTTTAATGCCTGTGATGTGGTCCAGCCAGTAGAAGATGCTGCAGAGGCAACACAGATGGAAACCTTCTAAACGATGTACATAACCAGAGTCAGAACCCATGAATACACCTTGGAAAACTGTTGTTGTACATTGCAGATCTGATTGTGGACTAGAAGAGCAAGCCAGAAACAAAAGTTGTCAGATGAGTTTTTCCTGTATATTTATTTGAGCCCGATGCCATCTGAAGTTGAAAAGACCTCCGTTGGTTCAGAAGGATAAATAAATACCCTCAAGGTCTTCTGTTGCCTGCAGCAGCATCAAGCCAAAGAATATGGTAAATAAGTGCAGAACCAGCTCTCATCCCTGCTTCACATCATTGAAGATTCGGAAGGAATTCGAGAGGTTGCAAATCATCCTTGACTTTTCTGTATTGATTTTCATTAAACTACTTCACTGAGGCAGCCAAATATTTTGAGGATTTTACAAAGGCCATCTCTGCTCACAGTGTCTGGTGCTTTGTTGTATTCTACAAAAGTGAAGGATCGACCTTTGTTTTCTTACAATGTTTTTCTTAGAGTTGTTGGAGGACAAGTGCCATGTCTATAGTACCTTTGCATGTTCAGAAACTGCATTGGTTCATAGGAGGATTTCTCCACAATGCTAAGCACAACAGTGTTCCTTTATTCTTGTCAGGACCTTCCACAGAATAGAAAGGAGGGTGATCCTGCAGTAATTGAAGCATTTTGACTTTTCTCCCTTCTTTTTGTACGATGTGGTGTTAATGACATCATGAAGATCCTGTCCAATTCCCGTTAGACCATGAAAAACTCAGAGTGTGGTATATGGAGTATGGCTACCATTTTTTAAGACATTAGGTGTAATTTCATCTACTCTGGGAACTTTATTAAATTTAAGCTACAATAGTGCGATGTGAACCCATTTCCACAATGTCTAAGCCTGGGTCCCTGGATTGCTCATTACCGGTATGCCAACATTATAAACCCCCACGCCTTGCTCAATTTATGTAGCACCTTTAACGTAATTCACATCCATAGGGAGCTTCAGGTGTGTTATAATTCATAATTAAGCACTAAACCACAGGGTGATACTTAGTAAGATGTTCAAAAGCTTGGTCAAAGAGGTCACTGTGAACAAGAACAGAAATTTCTGGAGAAAGTCAGCCCATCTGGCAGCTTATGTGGCAAGATTCAGGGTCTGAAAGAAGGTCATTGGAACTAAAACATTACCTCTGTTTCTTTCCACGGAAGCCACCAGACCTGCTAAATTTCTACATATATTTCTATTTTTGTTTCAGATTCCAGCATCCGCAGTTCTTTGTTTTATTTGGGGTAATTTTAAGTTTTCTAAAGAGCTTCTCCAAGGAAGAAAGAGGCAGAGAGGTTTAGGAAGGGAATTTCAGAGTTTTGGATTTTGATAGCTGAATGAACAATAAAAATCAGAATGCTTAAGGAACCAGAATTATGTGAGTACAGCTATTTTGAAACGTTGCATGGGGTGAGAAAACTACAAAGGTGCGGATGGATGAGGAACTTGTAACCAAGAACAAGAATTTTAAAATCAGGGCAGTGCTTGACCATAAGCCTGTGTATGTCAATAAATTCACAGACTATTGGTGAACAGGACATTGTGAGAGTAAGGACCCTGGCACCTGAGTCTTGGGTGACTTCAAATTTACAGAGGATAGAATATAGGAGTACAGTCAAGTTTGAACTGAAATAATGAACTCTAAAGGTAACAAAATCATGAGTGATTATTTCAGCTGAGGGTGATCAAAATAAGTTGTACAATGTTACAAAGATTTAAGTAGCACTCTTAATGATGCTGCAGGTATTTGATCAGGCGTTCATCTCTGAGTCAAATACAGTGCCAGGAGCAAGACAAAAATTTGCACCATGCAACTTAAACACTAGCAGTACAACCTTGCAAGCTAAACTTAAATTTTTATTTCTGTACAGAGTTTTTGTTAAAAGCACCTTTTTTATTTCTCAAAAATCAACATTAACATTTGCAAAGTCTTAATAAAATGTAATACTGTTAGTAGAAAATAGAAACTTTTAGTTTTGAATTTCTTGTTCTATTAATGGGAATTGCATATTATTCAGTCTCACCGTTGAGAATTGCCAAATCTAGTTTGTTATTTCAGTTATATTGGCCTTGTTCTTAAACCACGAATAAAATCTGCACTGAATTTTTTTGCTGAAAGTACTGGAGCTGTGAGTATCTTTGCCACCAAAGCTGTAGGATCCAGCAATCTTGTCACTAAATTACAAACTTGCCACCAAATGCAGTGATGCTGCTCGATTTTGTGTTTATACAGGTGCTTCTGTGTGGAATGTGTGGACCTATTGGTTGGACCAGGTGCTGCGCAGGCAGCCATTAAAGAAGACCCCTGGAACTGTTACATGTGCAATCATAAAGGAATCTTTGGACTGCTAAGGCGGAGGGAGGATTGGCCAGTCCGGCTCCAACAGTTTTTTGCTAATAACCATGACCAGGAATTTGTGAGTATGATTTTCATGATCTTTCTTTTTAAAGCTGTGCAAACATATGGCATAAAAATGATAGAGGTGCTGGACGTTCCCATCCTAAGTCAGGCTGGATTGGAGGCAGGAGAGTGGAAAATAAATAACATCAGCAGCATGGGTGCTGATTTCCTGCCTCTGTTTCTGATTGATGATTTTTCCAGACACAGAGGAGAGGGAGGGAGGTGAAGTTGCTTGCTTTGTTAAATGGGTGGCTTGAAGTCATTAGGGAGTTTGTTAAACATTTTATTGGGAGGCTCCTGAAGTTGACCTGCCATAACCTGCAGGAACTAGGCTGACAGCACTGAAGCATTTATATTTAATGCAAAAAAGGGAGCCTTTCTACAAAAGAACTACTGAACAGTAACAGTACTTTAGTAACCAACCTATCCCTTCTTCATCCCAGCTGTCCATTTAGCTTTGAACTTAAAGATTTTCTCATATCTGAGAAAAGCACAGAGATGGGAGTTATTGCTCAGGCCAGAATGTGGCCCACTACCCTGCTGTCCCATCTCCATATTATCCCCCCACTCCATCAGCTACCAATTGAATAGCAGACCCACCACTTGGGGTCGTTACAACTCCAATCTCATCAAACTTAGTCTCAGACTTACATCTTCAACAGGAGAATCCCTGGAATTGATAGGTTATATAGAGGGAAAGCTTTCGGCTGGTGGCTAAGTTCACAACAAAGGAACATGATCTTAGAACTAGAGGTGCACTATATAGTGAGGATATCCAAAAGCACAGTCATGGAAATTCAGAAATTTAATTGAAAATTTTGAAACTGATTTCGATACATTTTTGAGAGTTAGCGAGTTATTTAGAATTAAGGGGTTATTTAATAAAGGCAGATAAATGGAATTCAGTTACAGATCAGCCACGATCATGATGAATAGGCTTACGCAGATGAATGGCACAATCAGTGCACCTGTTTTCCTGTATTATGATACACCCTATCTAATACATTTCTTGTCTTGATAAATTAAATTTGCAATTTACCTTCCTCCTGGGATGTTGAAATATCCTAATTTGAGTCAATAGAAATCATCCTATTAAAAGTGCCTACTCATCTCTAGACTTGCCAATCATCAAGGTTTTGGTGTATCATTCAGTGCTAAGAGCATCTCACTATCCAACCTCTGGCTCTAAATAACTGATAATGTATCATATTAAAAGCAAAATGCTGCTGGTACTGGCAATTTGAAATGAAAAGATGAAAATTCTGAAGAAACTCAGTAGGTCTGGCAGCATCACCGGAGAAAGAAATGGTTAAAGTTTCAAGTCCAAGTTTCTTTAAAACTAAAGGTGGTGGAAAATGGTAGTTTTTATGCTTTTGGCAGAGGTAGAACAAGTAAAACAAGTGGTTATGATGCAAGCACAAAAGACAAAAGGGAGTCCTCATGCAGGTAAAAGAAATATGGAGATGTAAAATAGGCATGAAACTGAGAAAAAATGTCCATTCTGCTGAGTATGAAGCCAACAAGACGGATGGGGGATGGGGGAAATGTTGTCATCAGATGGAGGACAGAGATCATGCTGTGAAGGTATTAAACTCAGTGTTGAGTCCTAGAGGCGGTAAAGTACCCAAGTGGAAAGTGAGGCATTTTTCCTTCAGCTTGCATTGAGCTTCATTGGAACACTGCAGGAGCCCCTGCAGCCTCTGTCTGATTCTGTCACTTCTCTGCTATTAAATCTTTTTTAATGGACTGTTGCAATTTTCCCAACTACCAAGTCAGGCTAATCAGTCTGTAAGTCCCTGTTTTCTCTGTGTCTGCTTTGTTAAATATTGAGGTTACTTTATCTACCCTCCAATCCATGTCGTTCCCTATTCCAGCAGGAAAGAAACCCCCCACCCCCAGCATTGCAATTTAAAGGGATTATATAAGGACAGAAAGTGCTGGAGAAAAGCAGCAGGTCTGGCAGCATTTTTGGGTTGAGAAACACGTTCAATGTTTCAAATCCAGGTGAGTCATACCAGATTCAAAGCATTAACTTTTTTCTCTCTCCACAGATAATGCCAGATCTGCTAGTTTCTCCAGCACTTTCTATTTTTATTTTGGATTTCCATTATCCGTAGTATTTTCCTTTTATCAACGCCTTGGTTTCTGGTTGTTTCTTCCAACTGCTGCTACAGTTCTCCAAGCATTTCAGCTTTTTAATAGATGTTTTAGTTTACACAATTTGAGACTTTGCTAAGAGTCTAGGCTTTACTGTGGTAAACTGTGACAGTAACAACACGCACATCACTTTGTGGGTGCCCATTATCAATAGTGCCCCAATCCTGAACCAGAAGGTCTCAAAGTTCAACTTGTGTGTGACCATGGACGTGGATTCTTCAAGTCAGTGCCTAGTATCCTGGCAACAGTCATGGTGCCTTTATTTCAGAGCAGTCTGCTGCATCAACTACAATTTATCCACCGCGTCAAACCAAAGAGTGGCAACTGGTTGATGATGACTGTCCATTTATATACAGAGTCATTTATATACAGAAGGCCATTTGACCCATCGAGTTTCTGCCAGCTCTGCACGGAGCAATCCAGTCAGTGTAATTTCCCTAATGTATCTCCATAGCCTTGAAAGGCCCATCTAATTCCTTTTGAAATCATTTATCATCTCTTCATCTATCATTCTTATCGGCAGTGTGTTCCGGGTCATTATTTGCTGCATAAAGAGAGCTCTTTCACGTGTTTCCCCAGATCATCACCTTGCTTACTTGAAGGCTCCGGTGCGCAACTCACTCATAAGTAGGTACAAACATGTAAAAGCAGATTACTGGCATTCTGAAATTGCATTTTGCACTGGAGGAACCTCGCAATAGTTCACAGAGTAAGTGTCTAGCTTTGTGATGATCTACCACATTCTGTACGATCTCACCAGCATGAAAGGCCAAGCCTTACCACCAGCTGTATGGCACGTACTGGGAAGGCAGGACCGTGAGGAAGAAAAGGGTGTAGAAGGGAGAAACCAAATCACACAAGCTGTCAGTGAAGTACTTCAACCAGGTGTGATACCACTAACCGGAACCTGAATTCTCCATTCACTAACAGTCCCACAGCTGGGAACATGATAACAGCGTTCAGCTTACATGTAGTAGCCTGCACTTCTACTGCAGCACCCTGAGGTTGGATGGATAACTGCTGCTTGTACTGCAATGGAAGCTGCCACATTGGCCATCACTCCACAAAGGACAGAACAACGTTGGCCATTATTTCCTTGATGAAATGTTTGGACTCCAAGCTCTGCTCAAAATCCATGTTCAGTTGGTGTGGAGTTCTCCTTGCTTCATGACATCACACAGAGGCCTTGGCAGTGCACCAGTTTTTTTTTGTGCATCACCATTTGCTGCCTTCTGTAGTCTGTTCCCCACCAGACTCCTCATCTAAGGACTCTGTAGTAACTCTGGTGAGCTAACGCTTGTAGTATCCTTGCCTTGTGCTCTGGCTATATATCACTTGTGTCCAGTGTCTCATCATGTGCAGGTTCTGCTTCTGTGCCGTTGTCTAAACTAAGCCTCAGTTGCAAAGTGTAATTGAGTGAATACTTGTATTCAGCACTTCCTCCAATGCCTAGCCAGGTTGCATTTCTCATGTATCTGAAAGAAGAAAGCTACAGTGGTAGATTTGAAATGGGATGAGGGGTATGCAGGCAAAGTAAAACGTGCATGCTTACAACATCTAAAACATGCTTTACAATCAGAAGCAATTATGGTTTAAGAAGGAGAATTAGGTTCGAGTATACCACCTTGTTCTGAGGTTACAGTCCTTATTGGCTGTTGGCCCAGCATTGGACATTCAAGTAAAGCCAGCATGGTTTCTTCCAATGTACGCATCATTCTCTTGCATGCAACCTTTGTTGTATCCGGTTGTGTGGCATCTTAACCTGTAAGAGTTTCAGCACTGTGCCAGTGAGCCTCATACAATTTGTTTGGCTGCAGTGCCGTTCATGGCATTGTATGCAAGCTGAGATTTGGGTGTGAGGCTTTCAGCTCCCTTTTATGTGGAGCAGTTTAGCTGTAACTTGTGCTAGCAAATTATGACTTTGAGCCCCTTGATGCATGCAGATAATCAACTGCATGATTTATACTGGCTGCATGCAGCAATTATTGAAATTAGCAGCCAGTTCAAAGTTAGCATGGTGCCTACTTTGCAATCAACAAATATTTTTGTACAGTGTTATCCCCATGCATATTTTTTGGAGATATTCAATTTAGCACCACTTGTTCCTGACTAAGTTATTGATCTCTGTACACTATAGATAAGATCAAGAGTAAGCTGTAAGAGGCATGCAATAAAACACAGACATGTTAAATAAATGGGGGGAGAAAACCTGGCAGATGCAACGCAATATGAAGAAAATATGAAATTATCCGTATTGTTAGCAAAAATAGGAAAGCACAAGACTTTTCAAATGATGCGAGACTGCATTGTTGATATTCAAAACGATTTGAATATCAGTGTACACAAATGAAAGAAAGTTATCATGTAAGTACAGCAAGCAGTCAGGGAAAAAGAATGTACTTTAGTCTTTATAACAAACGGCCTAAAGTCTAAGGGTAAAGAACTCATGATGTAATTGTAAACAATCTTGGTGAGACTACACCTAGGCCTGGAATACTGTGGCAGTTTTATTTCCTTATCTAAGGAAGAATATAAAAACAGAAATAGCCAGAGAAGCTCAGCAGGTCTGTGGAGAGAAAACAGACTTAATTTTTCAAGTCCAGTGACCCTTCTTCAGAACTAATACTAGCTAGGGAAAAGGTGGTATAAATGTTGATGATGGGGAGGGGTTTGGGGAGAGAAGAGTGAGTGGACAGGCAGAGTTGGAGCCCAAAGAGAGAGAGAGAGAATGACAGTTAAGGAGACAAATGGATGGATAGTAGTTTGCCATGGAGAAAGAAAAGCCGACAGTGGGGATTATAAGTAGGTGAAAATGAGTTGGCTGTGCTGAAAGCAGCCTGTGTCATGACAGGACATGGGATGTGGGGGTGAGTAAAGGACAAAGAAGAAGGTGCCCAGGTTCTAACATTATTGAGCTCGATATTGAGTCCTGAAGACTGCAGGGTTTCCAAGCCGATAATGAGGTGCTGTTCTTCCAGCTTGCTCTGAGCTTCGCTGGAACACTGCAGCAAGCCCGAGACTGAAATGTTGCCCGTAGGACATGGGGGTGTGTTGAAGTGGCAGGCAGCTAAAGCTTGGGGTCATTTTTGCAGATAGAAAGTAGGTGTTCTGCAAAGCGGTCACCCAGTCTGTGGTTTATCTCCCCAGTGTAGAGGAAATCACATCATGAGCAGCGAATACGATAGACTAGATTGTGGGAAGGGCAGGTCACTGCAAGGGTGGGAGGAGGGAGGAAATAAATGGGCAGGTGTTACAACTTGTGCAGTTGCGTGGGAGAGTGCCATGGGGGTGTGGGGAGTGGAGGAGCAGTATACCAGGGTGTCCCAGAAGGAACGGTCTCTCCGAAATGCTGGTGAGGGAGATGAAGAGAATATGTGCCTGGTAGTGGCATCCTGCTGGAGGTGGCGGAAATGGCAGCTTATGATCCTTTAGATGTGGAGGCTGGTAGAGTGGAAAGTGAGGACCCTATCGGTGTTGTGAGAAGGAAGAGAAAGGGTGAGGGCAAAAGTATTAGATATGGATCGGACATAGCTGTTCGTCCTGGCAACAATGATAGTGGGGAATCCTTAGTTGAGGAGAAAGATGGACATTTCTGAGGCCCCCTGTGGAAGGTAGCATCATCAGAAAAGATGTGACCGAGACAGAGAAACTGACAGAATGGAATAGTGTCTTTACATGGTATGAGGATGTACAGCCCAGGTAACTGTGGAAGTCTGTAATGGATATCGGTGACCAGCCTTTCCCCAGAAATGGAAACAATGTCAAGGAAGGGAAGGGAGAAGTCAGAGATGGACCAGGCGAAGGTGAGAACAGGGTGAAAATTGGAAGTGAAATTGATAAATGTTTCTTATTCTGGGCGAGAGAAGAAAGCAGCACCGATGAAGTCATTGATGTTCTGGAGAAAGAGTTGTGGGTGGGTCCTGAGTAAAACTGGAACTAGGAATGTTCCACCTAACCCGCAGAGACAAGCATAACTGGGACCCATGAGGTACCCATGCCCACGCCTTAGACCTAAAGAAAATCACCTCTCACTTCTGTGCTTTGAACTTCACCTGTCTACTCCATTAACTTGTCCATGTCCTCCTCATGGATCACAATGCTTCCAAATGTCAAATCATCCACAAACTTTGAAAATGTACCCAAGATCTCAATCATTAATCTATATCAGTAAAAGCAATGGTCGCAACAATAACTCGGCTGCAAACTTTCCTGCAGACAAAGAAACATTCGTTAACCATAACTCTGTTTTCTATCACTCACCTGACTTTGTATCCAATTTGCTACTATCCCCTTCATTCCATGGCCCAACAAATTGCTATGGTTACATTTTAGACATTGATATTTTTGTGCACAAGTTGACAAAGTTTAAATTTCCCATATTTCAGATGGCAACAGGAGGCTTGGAACCAAGGACAGGATAGGCTGACAACACATTCTTCAGAATTACTGTATTTTTGTAACATGTTGTAGGAGACCTGTGCCATGCTCAGACTGTAAAGTGCCTCATCAACTTGCACCTTCTCATGTAATCTCGCAGCTGATCTTGTGCTTAGCTCCATCCAGCCACCTCACTAAAATTAAAACTTAGCAGGGACAGGCTCATAATGGGACCATAGCAATGTTAAGTACCGCAGGCCTGTTCTGAGGTAATTACTACCTCTGTCCTCAAGAAAATAGTTGAAGGTGGATCTGGGACCGGGCTCAGGTGGGTTGAATGTGGGGAAGCACTTTTTCTACTGTCCTGCCTCCTTTCCATCTCATTGAATCTGGGAAAATTTGGCCAGAAGGGTGCCAGATTGCACTGCAGAGATCAGCGTTTAGATGGTTGGATTGGAGGGATCTGTGTATACCTTGAAGCATTTCATTCCTAGAAAAATGAAGGAAACTTAAGACTACATAGTCTCTGGCCACATCTGGTTATAGTTTGTTGATCACATGTCAGCATAAATTTCTGTCTCACGCTTTAAGAAAATAATAATAAAAGAAAGTTTGATTATTTACAATTCATTAAACACTTAACTTAGCCAAGGAAGATTCATTAGTACAATCTATTTTACCAGGGGATTTTTCTATAATGTCATGCATTGGTCTGAATTTCTCTTGGTTTTTCTTATTCGCTTAAATTTGCAGGACCCACCAAAGTTGTTTGCACCCATTGCTGCTGAGAAGAGAAAACCTGTTCGAGTACTGTCACTTTTTGATGGCATAGCCACAGGTAGTGTACAAAGCCAAATGTATATATTCAGTGACAAACTGCATACCATGTTGAATTTTATAAATAAAAGTGACCTGCTACTTTTGTTTTAAATGCATCATTTTCCCAACTGCTCCCCCATTTCAAAAGTTTCAAATGTTAACCGAAATAGGTGTTAAAAATGTTACCATTAGGTTAAACTAACTGTTTTGTTTCTTTCCAGATTAGGCAGTTAAATCTTACAATTTGCTGAATTTGTTTGGTTGGTTTGCTTTAGCATTATTTTGCTCTCAGATATGGTAGGCATGAAATAGATTAATTCAGAGTTACCAGTTAACCTGCCATCTTTAAATTGCTGTGGAGTTTGAAAGATCTGTTGATTTATTGTGATATAAAATGAATGCCAAAAATTAGCTGCCAAAGCCAATTTGTTATCTAACAGATTATCTTGGAATGAGGGTCATCAAAGCATCTCAGCAAAGGAATTTTCAGAACATGATTAACAGGGCATTGAAGACCAAATCACAAATTTAATAAGTCCATAATTATGGCTTTATACATGTTTATATTTAAATAGCATCTACTGCAGTTTCTATCCACTCATCAAAGGGGCACATAATCCAGCCTATACGGTGCCATATTCGATTAACAACAGCACTTCCATTAGTGAACACCCTGAGTACTGTACACAGGTTTTAGCCTCAATAATGTGTTCAAACCTCAAGTTGGATTGATCAATGCAGTTCATTAAGTGAGTCTTTCAGAGTGTATGAATCAAGATTAAATGGCTCTTCTTGCCTGCCTCTGGTGATCATTATTACATCCATGCAATGGGTCATCGGTTGTTGCAGCAATGCTTATAACAGCACTTGCCCTTAGACTTGCCCTTTCACATTTAGGGTCTTAAGTTTTTGAATATGACAGCTGGTAATGTCACTGAGGAAAACTTGCTATTTGTGATCTGAGTGAACAGATCAAGCAACTGCACATTTTCTGAACTAATTGAATTGAAGGTTTGCGAAACTAATTGCACAAGGATTGGGAAGGAAGTATAAATTAGACAGTGCCAAATCAGGTAGAGACTGTGAAACAGAGGAAAAGTAAGACTTAATTAAGAGAGAAAAATGTGACAGAATGGAAAAGTAAAAAAAAATTACATTTTTAGAATCTCTAGCAATCATAACCTGAAGCCGTGCAACTCCTTGCTTGTGACTGTTAATTTACAGTGTCAGAGATGTTGAATAGCAGCAATTAATGATGAATGCATTGTATATGTATGTTATAATCCCAACTGATGTTATTATTAGACGAGTCAGATTCCACACTAAAACCTAGCTTGATTGATCATGTTTGATTTGTTTTGGTTTTAACAAAATGGTCTCTTGAAGAAATATAAACATGCATGTTGCAGATTTTGCTTTAGCAATGAAGCAAGGGCCTTGGTGAGATCACACCTGTCACACTGTATACAATTTTAGTCTCGTTACCTAACAATAGACATCCTTCCCCTAAAGGGAGTGCAGAAGAGGTTCACCAGGCTAACACTGGAGAGGGCAAGACTGTCCTGCAAAGCAAGATTGTGCTTGTATTCACTAGAGTTTAGATGTCTGTTAGCATTTAGAAGCATAAGAAGGGATCTGATTGAAATATATAAAATACTGCCAGGACTGAAAAAAGTAGATGAAAGGAGAATGTTTTCCCTGACTGGGGAGTCTAGAACCTGGGGACACAGTGTCAGAATATGATGTAGATAATTTAAGTCTGAGGTGAGGATAAATGTCTTCATTCAAAGAGTAGTGAACCTGTGAAATTCTCTACATGAAAAGCTGTGAAGGCCAAGTCACTGAAGATATTGAAGAAAGAGTTAAATACATTTTTAGATATTAATAGTGTCGTTGGGCATGGTGAGAAAATAGAAATATCACATTGAAACAGAGGTTCAGACATGATCACATTGAATGGTAGAGCAGGCTCAAAAGGCTGAATAGCCTACTCCGGCTCCTAGTTTCTATGTCTTTGTTTCTATGTAAACACATCCGATTTGCTAATATCTTTCAGGGAAAATCTGTCATTCTTAACTGGTCTGGTCTACATATGAAACCAGACCCACAGCAATGAGATTGATTCTTAGCCGCCCTCTGAAATAGCCTAGCAAGCCAGTTATTACAAGGGAAATTAGGGATCGTCAACAAAGGCTGGCCTCGCTAGTGACACACACATCCCCTAAGAAAGTAAAGAAAATAATTTTTTGCGACCTGATTCCCCTGTACTATCTTTTGACCTGAACTAGCCAGAGGGAAGGATTCAACAATTTATTTCTGGCACTATGTCTGTCTTCGAATTTCTCTGTGGCCTGCTGTTACTTGTTGATTAGGGTTCAGCATTAACTAGCAAGTGATTATTTTAAAATAATGTAATATAGAATGTTTAAATAAATATGAATTTTAGGAAATGTGCTCTTAAATGCCAGAAGGAACCTCTTTTCCAGTGTTAGATATAAGCAAGTGATATCTTAACTCGCATTTTAAATTAAAAATAAAATACTTCTAATGTTTCAGAGATAGTAGTAACTGCAGATGCTGGAGAATCTGAGATAACAAGGTGTAGAGCTGGATGAACACAGCAAGCCAAGCAGCATCAGAGGAGCAGGAAGGCTGACATTTCGAGTCTAGACCCTTCTTCAGAAGGGTCTACTCTTCATTTCTGAAGAAGGGTCTAGACCCAAAAC